GTGTGTGTGTGTGTGTGTGTGTGTGTGTGTGTGTGTGTGTGTGTAGAGGCAATGGGAGATATGAGGTCTCAAAGTATTGGCACTTCACTGTAACATCCTTTGTGTTTGGACCCACAGGTACCAGTCTGCAGCAATGGCTGCCAGAGTGATCGGAGACACCCAACCCCTGCCTCCCTGCCCAGAAGCTTGTGGGATGGATTGACCACATCCTGAAGACAGGGGGTGCAGCACACCTGAAGCCGTATGTCCTTCAGAGGCCATGGCATGGGCTGTACTTCCTGGACATCATCCTGTTCTTTGTAGGAGTCATTCTGGGAACCTTATGGCTTTGTGGGAAGGTTCTTGGCGCTGTGACCAGGTATCTGAGTGGAGCCAAGAAGATGAAGAAGATATGACATTAAGACGTGACTGATACCAAGGGGTAAAGCTGTTGTTGGGGGTACTCTGAATCATCAAAGAACTACATCACAGAACTCTTTTTTCCCCCAGCAGTTAACTCTTACATTTTTCTATACATCTGTAGAAATCCAATGTGCCTCACTTGGTCATCTTGACCCTCTTGTAACTCAGAATTCCCTGCTCAGAAACAACTTCCCAGAAAACCTTGCTTTCTAGATACTGTCTTTTAGACACAGTATTGATGGTTTCGCCCTTCTCTGCAGAGGAATACTTTATTTCATTTATTCTACTACTTTGTGTGTGTATCCTGCCAGTAAATAGCAATTACCCCCACATTCTTTAAAAAGTGTGATTTAATGACTGAGACAGGGTAAATTCAATAAGAGCATCACGTACCAACGAGAAGGGAAATGTTCTAAAAGGATGAAGCATCTGCTGGGGCAACATGAAAAATAATTATAGCAGATTATATTTTATTAAAAATAATAACAGTGTATTCTTAGTACTGACATCAGGTAAACTTATGTCCACAAGTGATGAGAAGGCAATGGAAGAGGAATGCAGGAAATGCAGTGGATTTAAATTATTCATCAGTCAACACCAAATTTGGAGCTATCTCAGCGAGGAAATTATGGCAAGATGAAAATGAAACCTGGTAAAGACAATTACTTGATACATAATAGTTCATGAAGGTTCAATATGGTACTGTGAAAATTATTTACTGAGCATGGAAGGTTGCAAATTCTGTACACATAATCAAACTTTAAAGACAGTTAACACTATTGATAGAAAAATTGAAATGTACCCCCAGCTGTGAAGCACAATGCATAATCAATATTACACTCATAGGGCACAATGCATAAACAATATTATGCTCATAGTATTCCTGCCCAAACTCTACAACCACATGGGTAGTGAGAAAATACCTGTCTTCACTTTATTGACCCCAGCTTCTGGATTTCCATTCTACTCACCAAAGTAATTTTGAGGCAACTTTCTTGCTTCTAGCACTTTTGTAAGCATTGGTTTGTGTTTTTTAGTTCCCCTTTTTATTAATGGCCCACTGAATTGTTAGCATTTCTGGCACGAACATGAGTGCAGGGTTATTTACTAGACCATGGGCAACCTCCCAGTAGTTACACCTCTGAAGCTAGCAGCCATTAACCATCAACAGCTCCTCAGTTGTGGTGGAGGCTCCCTAAGCACCACCCCTGTGCATGTGGGAATGTTAATGTAATGGCCGAGTCTTGTCCATAAGACAATGTTTACGGCACTCTCAGAGGACTCCTACTTCTCTTCTGGCTCTTACGTTCTTTCAGTCCTTTTATCCATCCCTGAGCGTGTTCTCTGTCTCTGTGGCTGATATAGGTCATTTAAAGCTGAGCACTCAGTACTCACTTATTTTCAGCACGTGACAAGTTACGAGTCCCTCTGCATCGACCATTGCTCATCAAACAAAGAAACTTTTTTTTTGAACAAGTTTGATAACACCATTAATTTATAGAGTAAATTCTTGATATGTTTTTAACGTCTCTACCGTTTTTAGAAAAAAAAAAAAAAAAAAACAAAGGTTAGGATAACAAGGTCATAACATACAGGACTGACAGGTCTAGGAGATTTTCTGACATGGGGACCAGAGGTTCTCTCTCATGTCTGAGTACATTTCCAGGTTTGCTTTGGAAGAACGCACCCACTGAAATGTGTTTTGCCTGGTAGGACCACCTCTTTTGCCTGGGGGACCACCAGGCCCCCCAGATGCGATCCTTGAAAGGTCCGATTAAGGTGCCTCTCTAAGAAGTTTAAAGCATGTCTCTGACTGTCTTGCTTCTCTCTTGTCAGAGGCGGAGGCGCTGCAGTTTTGTCTAAAATTCTGACACAAGCCTTTGTAAAGGAACCCACAGAGCAGCTTAGAAGAAGAGAAATGGCTCCATTTTCTCAAGAACTTGCTCCACTTTCTGGCTTCTGTTGTTGGACGCACTGAGGCTTCCAGTCCCTTGAACGGCTTCCAGTCCAGTTCCCTGTAGACTCATTTTGCCCTTCTGATACCTCATAAGCCAGGTGTGCACTGTCTGCATTCCTCTCTGACCTTCTGGTCTAAACTTCCGGTATAATGGCCAGTTTAACTCTGCTTACAATATTGCAGGGATTCTCAAACTTTTTTACATCCCTCTTGAACACCAGTTGCAAAGTGGATGAATCACATGGCCAGGTTTTTATTACATGCCTTGGCACCGCTTTTCTGTAAACGGTTTGTTGCTGTGATAAAATATCACAGAACAACTCAGGGGAGAAAGGATGGTTATTTGGGTTCACAGTGTGAGGGCTCTTTCATCATGGCCGGGAAGTCGTAGCTGCTGAACCTGATAGATTACGTCTACAGTCAAGAGACAAGAAAGGTAACTACGTTGCTCAGTTCAGCCCATAGAATGGCGATGCCCACAGTTACGATGAGTCTTCATACCGCAGTGAACCCAAACAAAAAATTCTTTCACAGAGATGCTCAGAGCCTTGTTTTTGTGGTGATTTTAGCTTCTATTGAGTTGTCAATAAATCTTAACTATTACAGACATAAGTAAGAGAATAATAGAGACTGCAAAGAAATGCTGCAAAAATGGTACATGAACAAGTTAGACCACATAGAAGAAATGGAGAAGTTCTGAAGAGGACACATGCAAACACCACTGCTCTGAGAGCAATGAGAACAACAACAAATCTGAATAAACACAATCAGAAGTAGATGGAATGAATCAATAATCAAAAACCTGTCCATAAAAATAGCCCAGATCACCTAGCTGAACTTGTGAGTTCTACTCAATATCTAAATAGTAATCGACACCAGTCATTCTGAAAACTTCTAATGAAATGAAAGATAGGGATGCTTCTTAACTCATGTGAAGCCATCATTACCCTGCTGAGTAATGAGTTCAGTACTGCTATGAAGAGAAAATAAAGCAAAAGCTGCTGAAAACTGGAGGTCAGCCAAAAATTTAAGGTTCATTTGCTACGTCACACAATCATTAAAGAAAGCAAGAGTTTAGACAGGATCAAAAGATCTTCTATAAATGTGTGAAATTCTCAGAGAATAAATAAAATACATTTTAAATTTTATTTTATTATCTATATTGTCTTTGTATGTGTGTGGGCAGCCTAGCTATGGGGAGCTCAAAGGACACTTTTGCAGAATCGGTTCATTCTACTTTAACATGGGCTTCAGGGATGGAATTCGGGTCACCAGGCTCGTACAATAAGCAGCCTGGCTTACTGAACCATCTCACTGGCTCATCTCACAGCTGTTCCATCTTCAAGTATATACTTTCAGCAACTGGAGTTACTCAATTGCATACTTGTACACACCTAATCACGGGAATATTATCATGTAGCTCAAAGACAGAAACAGCCTATATTTCATTGCTAAACAATTTGTATCATATATTGATTTATTTTTTAGCTGTTTAAGAGGGGTAGTGAGGTAATGATACATTTTATAATTGGCTAAATTTGAAAACACTCTGTTAAGTGGAAAAAAGCAAATACAAAGGGCCATATAGTCATTCTAATTACATGAAACTTTAAGAATGGTTAAATAGGCCAAAGACACCGGTGGTTTCCAGGAAGATCAGTAGGGAAAGGTTGAGAGTGATATAGTGGTAATGGTTATACAGAATTATGAGAGTATTGAATGTAACCTCACTGTTTAAATTAAAATGGATATACTTATGCTGTGTGGATGCATTTCAGTTATGAGTCAGTAATCTGGGTGACATGTGAATATCAAATCCAACTGAGGTTGTAGCTAATGTTTTGTGACTTTGGTGCCCTAATTTTTCACCACTTTTTAGAGCAGTAATGCTTTTAAACTCTTTGTTTAGATTGTTTTAATTACATTTAACTTTGTCTCTGTGTATGTGCCTACCATGCCAGGTAGGCGATAGAATGACGACCTGCAGAAGTTGGTTCTTTTCTTCCACAGTGTGAGTCTTAGGGACTGAACTCCGGCCAGTAGGCTCGGTGGTAGGCATCTTTACCTGCTGAGCCATATCTCTGTCCTCCAAGATTTCTGGTAGTAATGATATAGCCAATTACTCCTTGTTGTATCAGCAAACCACTTGCACTCTTTCAGATACTGGTTTCTCTGGTCTGGATTCAGGAATCTTGCAGAACTTTATACCCTCCAGGACCTGAAATAGACCTTGACGATGACCCTGACAATAAGGCCACTATCTTAAATAGAAAGATCTGCCCACTCACTTCTTCAAGATCTAGAACAGCTATTGGCAGGCACATTATACTATGAGTCCTGTGGATAGAGAACAGTTCCTTATACCTGAAAGTCTCCTTTAAGTTTATTTGTGATTATTCAAACATTTATTTGTGGAAATGTATATGGAACTACAGAAAAATGATTTATAGGCTATTCAGGTACAGTAAATATGATCAGAGTGCACAGAACACTGCCTGATACCAGAGGTTATGAAAAGTATTTCAGGATGCTTTGCAAAGGGTACTAATATTTGGAGCTGTCACACATTGTGAGATTTTCATTGGGAGTAACTTAACACCTCCTTCCCCTTCTCAGTGCTGGAATTCTGTCTGGCTCGAACCCATGCAGGTCTTGTGCACACACTGCTACAGTCTCTGCGAGTTCATATGCATATTGGTCCTGTTGTGTATGGAAGACACAACTACTGTTTCTTTGGAGTCATCCACCACTTCTGGCTCTGACAATCTTTTCACCTCTTCCTAGGTTTAGATTTTAGCCTTGAGGGGAGGGGTTTGATGAAGATACCCCATGAAGGACTGAGTGCTCCAAAGTCTGTTACTCTCTACACATTTTGCAGTTGTGAGTATCTGTGTTAGTTTCCAACTACTACAAGAAAAAGCTTCTCTGATGATGGATGAGTGAGACACTGATCTACATGTATAGCAATATGTCATAAGGAACCATTTTATTGTTGTGTTCCTTTAGCAGAATAATATAATATTATTAGATTTTCCC